TTCAGAGCCAGTTGTTTGATGTGGATTAGTCTGACGCTCTGTACTGAGAATGAAGCTCTCTTAATTAAATGTTTATTTTCTTTAGTTATGGAACATCAGTCAAAAAAGGAAAAGCTTCATGGAAGGGTTGTACATTTGTAATAAGACTTGGGTAGCAGTATGGCAGAGGTATGTCCCCTCAACTGAGCGCTGCATTCACTAGTTAATTCATTTACTGCTATTTCTTGAGAGTTATTATGTACATGAGTTAAATACCAAGTTTGTCTACATACTGGCTGCACTTCAAAAGTAATCCAATAGTTCAAATGCACTGTTGGATATCCTGAGGGTGTAAAAGGCAGTATAGAAATGAAAGCTGGCTTGTTCACTGGAAGCCTTTTATCCTCTTGTGAAAATACTGCTATTTTAATTTTGTTTAGTATTTTGTATGATAAGGTGTTCACATCTTACAGAATAGATATTTTCACATTTTTATTGAGTGTATTAACTACGTGAAATATTTGGTTCAATTGGAGTATGCTTCAAATGTGTACAAGCGAATGTAATGTTGAAATGAAGAATTGTAAGTTGATAGTAAACCAATGTAATTATCAGCCAAACTCTCCTCATCTCCTTTGTCGTAGTATTCATTTAAAACAAGCTCTCTTTTTCACCCTCATCCTTTCCCTGTTATTGCTGTAATCAATTCTCTCCTAAGCCTACTGAACACAGACTTGGAAAGAATATGGTGATCAACTTGAGGCCATTTACTGCCAGATCCATTTTGATCCACATAAAGCACTTGATTACTCTTTCATGGCATTTGAGTATCATTTATATAGCCAGCATTTCTTGCTCATCCTAAATTTCTCCTTCGAAAATAGTAGTGAGCTGCTGTTTGAACAACAGTGGTCCACCTGATGTTGATACACCTTGAGTGCAGTTAGCGAGGGAGTTTCAAGGTATTGAATCAGTGACAGTGAAGGAACAGTGATAGAGATCCAAGTCTGGATGGTGTGTGACTTGGAGGGCAGCTGGCAGATGTTGGTGTGCCCATGTGTATGATATTGCTCTACCCTGCCCCAAAAAAAGCCCATCCATACATCTCCCATACCGTCTCTTCCCTATTTACCACACCACCAATTTTCATGTCATTTATGAGTTTGCTGATCAAACCTCCTACTTTCAAGTCTAAAATGTGAATTATGAACAGCAAAGGACCTAGCTTCAAACCCTCTGCTGTCCCACTGGATTGGAAAAGCATATTGATTAAAAGTATAAATGGAATTAGTTTAGAATAGCATCATGGTTGGCACAGATAGAGAGGGCCGTTCCTGTGCTGAACTTTGCAGTGTTCTAAGTTCTGAAACCTTTTTTCCTATGAAGAGGTTGTGGATACCAAATGATCATCGTCTGAATACCTGAATTATAGTTGTGTAAATTGCTGAAGCTTTCAGCACAAACAGCCATTGAGCTCTGTGTCGATGTTGATTCTTAACTTCCTTATGAACCACATTGCTGAATTGTGCCTACATAGAACATGGAACAGTACAGCACAGGAATGGGGTCTTTGGCCCACGATGTTGTGCCGAACATGACGCCAAATTAAACTAATGCCTTCTACCTGCCGTTGGTCCACATCCCTCCATTCATTGCATATTCATGTGCTTATCTAAAATATTTCCTTGGCTTCAAATGTTTATCTTCCCAGTCACTTCCTTCGGTAAACATTTTCATGCTGCAGAAATTATTTGAGTAAAGAACTTTCTCTTTCTCTTTTTCTTTGTCACGATTTAAAATTATATTATGAACTTCTTTTTATTTTCCTGCTCTTGGATTGTGTGACCAAAGCAAGGCTATGTTTATTGTCCATTCCTAGTTGCCCTGAGAAGTAGATGGAGCCTGCAAGTCAGCTTGAACCTATGAAGGCCTTGTGTGATTCACCCAAAATTCGGTTGTTGGAATCTCGCAAATTGTTCAATTTAGGTGAAATAGTTTGTTTTGGCTTATAAGCTAGTGATGCAAAAAAAGTGTTTATCATCTTTGTTGTGATACACGGAACAAATTTAGATAATAGTCATGGCTAAATGTTGATGTTTGTAACCTAAAAACAATGCATGTGTTGTAAACATGACTTTAACAGATGTTGTAGATTAGTAAAGTCTGCTTGAATTTATTGTTTTTTAAAATTGAATATTGTCTGTGATGCAGAATATTAATCTACTGATCAGTTAACTGCTAGTCCACATAGAGAAGCAGTAGATCTGGGGGGAGGGGAAAATGTGTTCATGTGGGAGGGACTGAAACAGAATTTGCTATCACCCATGGCCTGCTGCTTTGTCACTGTCTGTGAAGCAGCTGAGGACCAAGTCTGATTAACTCTTGAAATACTGAGTTGTGAAAATATTCATTGGAGCTGGGATTTGCATTTTTTTTGGTGTTCATTTGTCTTGAAATTTCAATTATTCCCACATAATGTTGGACTGATAAATGCATCTTTTTATAATTACCTGTTTTAAATATAAACATGAACTCGCAATAAAAATCAGAAAATTTGGTTTTGTCTTCTGTAATTTTCAATCTGAACCAGATGAAAACTTCAGTCTGACTCCATGCTTCATTATGTTGTTTCATGAAATGTTCTTAGTTTTGTGACATCCTTCTTTGATTGTAACATTACCAGTGTTGGTACGTTTGTTGCACCTTGTCTTCTTTTGTGCTGTGTTGTGGGATGTTTACAAGAACATGCCTTCTGTTCCAATATGTAAAAATATCCAGACACAAGTCTGCAATGGTAAAATGTACTGTAAAATTTGTAACAAAACGTTGATGAAACAGTATTTCCTTGATCCACTTTCATTCCTTATCTCTTCTAAGGCATTTTTAGTGGGACAGGCAATCGTTATTCAGTATTGATTTGGAGGGAAATGGCAAACAAAGTAGAGATAAAGGAAAGATTATTTGATTGTAGGGTTGTGCCAGATGTTGCTTGGATATTCTGAGGTAACAGATTTGCATTGTGCAAACAATTTGAATGAAGATACAGGCAGTTGTGCCTTCAAATTTACAAATGACAAGTTTTACATTGTAAAATACATTGAGTAGTTGGAAGTGGAAAGTTATACACCGTTATATAGGAGTTAAGTATGGTGAGTGTGAGGTTATCCGTTTTGGTTCTGAGAAGGGCAGCTGGTAATAGTGAGAGGCAAACATAGATAAATTATTAAAAGTTAACGTGTAGGTAGAAAGAGCCATCAATGTGTCTTTTGGAATGTTAGCCTTTACCTCAGAGGTAGAACACAAAATAAAGTGCTGTTTTATTTGTATGGAATCTTCATAGACCATATCTGTTGTACAACATTCAGTTTGTGTACCAAATCTCGAGCTATATATGTTGACCTTGGCAACAAAGCACAGGTATCTCAGTACGCTACCATGGCTTAAACATTTAAAATGTAGGGACCGTTCCATAACCTTAGATTGTATTCTCTTGAATATAGGAAATTTAATGGCAGTTTGAGATCTTAGTTTTGAAGACAGGTCACTGGACCCAAACTCTGCATTTTCTCCACAGATGCTGCCAGACCTGCTGTGTTTGTCCAGCAATTTCCGTTTTTATTTTTGATTTCCAGCATCCACAGTTCTTTGCTTTTTTTAAAGTAAGTAGGGCTTGTAATCTCTGGACTTTAGAAGAATGAGAGGAGATCTAATCGAGGTATGTATTATAGGGGATTGACAAAAATCGACATGAGAGGATGTTTCCTCTTGTGGGGCAATCTAGAACGTGGGGTCATACTTTTTAGAATAAGAGCTAGCAAATTTAAGACCGGTGAGGAGGAATTGCTTCTTTCAAAAGGTGGTGAATCTGTGGAATTCACTACTCGAGTGTGTTAAATGCCGGATACTGACTAAATTTAAGGAGGAGATAGAATTTAAATTAGTACTGAGTTGAAAGGTTGTGGAGAGCAGGTAGGAAAGTGGAGTTGGGGCAGAAATGATATCAGCCATAATCACATTGAGTGGTGGAGCAGGCGTGGAGTTTGAAAGGCCTACTCCTGATCCTTGCTGTTAGGAATATAGAACATATTTCATCACTGTGATCCAAACCCCTTTTTCATTTATGAGCAGTGCCACACAGCATAAATTTATATTGAGTTTCAATGATTCATGATTTTCTTTGACCACCTGCCAGCTGTTTATAAGGAAAGGATGAAAATGATTTTGACCAAGTAATCTTGCTACTACAGGCAAATTGGAAACTAGATTGAAGGGACTCATAAGGAAAGTTGGAAGCATATGTGCAGAATCATAACTCATTCCAGAACTTATGAGAGGAAAGTAAGATTTGAGTTATAACAGCATTGTGAGCTGAATAACTTCCTGCCTATTATTTGCCTTTGTGAACAATATTTGATCCTTCTTGGTCTGTAATGTTGATGTTGATTGTTATGCTTGCTTTAATAATATTGGATGATAGTATAACACCTAGAAAAGAATTTAATCAGAAAATGATGAGATCTGAGCAACTCAAATTATGACCACAAGAATAAGTAGGTATTGCATCTTTGCTATCTGATAATTTGCATAAAGTAAGTTTTTTTTTGTATTTATTCACAAAAATATTTTTTTACTTCCAATGGAGTGTTTCAAATATATATTTAGGGATAGTTTTAAAGCAGATAAGCAGCTTAAATTTTTTTACAAAATTGTACATTGTATTTAAAAAGTAAACACAAAACTCATAAAACCTCAGGATCTCTCTGACGTTACCTTCAAATGTACAGTCATACAATTCTTCTGGTAATGTGCCTCATGAGAACAGTATCATGAGCTGATATTTTAAAACTGGCACCACATTAGTCAAAACGTTTCGGCTCTTCAGGGGAGCAAAAATGAATACACCACTAAATTTATTTTTTTCTGTAAAGGTCAGTAATTCAACATTGTAACATATTTGATCATTTTCCAAATGTTAGCTGCAATTGCAATCTGTTATTAATGAATTTTCTCTTTTTCCACAGCAAAACTGTACAATCAAAAGTGGACTGCATTTTGGTGAGTGTTAGACTTGATGAAACTCTTTACAATTCAAGCCATGTCATTTTGAATTAATATTTTACATAACTGTAAATATTCACCTTTTGAATACAGCATTCCTTGCTTATAAATGTGTAGCTATAATAATATCAAGAGGAAACTTTGCATATTGTTGGTGCAAGCTATTTCTATAATGAAAAGTGAGAACAAATATATAACATTTCATCTCTCCAGATCAATCCAGAATACTTTAAGTATATTAAATTATTTAATGTATTGCATCATTTGAATGGTAACACATTAGTAATTTTGCCTACAAGATCCCATGAACAGAAATGAAATAATTGATTGGCTAATTATGATGCTGCAGGGAAGATGATTGATCAAAACTCCTATGATGTCGTCTTGCTCTTTAGGTAATGCATTGGGCTCTTTAATATCAGTACAAACCATTGCACGGATAGATAAGATTTCAGTTTTTGTTTGCAACCATACAGCACTTTCTCCGTGTTGCACTGAATTGTCTGCCTATGAAGATCTGTCCTGAGTAATATCTGATATTGCATGTCATGTTGAAAAAATGTCATGTTGAGTCCCAGTTAAATCCAGATATGTTCACCATTCACTCCTACATTCTAAATATTCATGTACAAACTAAAAATACCCCACTTCTCATTCTATCTTGCCCGCCCTCCCCCAGGAAAATTCCAAGATGAAACATAACTTCCTTTCGTTGAACACCATTCAATTTTGACCCTTTTCTGAGAAATTTTGGTTGACTGTTTGCTATGTGAACTGTTAAATTTGTCTGTTATTGACTTTTTAGAATCATGCTGAATTATTTTTTTCTTCTGCCTGTCAATTTAGTCCAGCTTTTCTCTCCTCCTCACCTGATGTTTGGGTTGCAGTTTCACGTTTGCTGACCATCTTCTGGTACCTCTTCTGAGTGATTACCATTCATAGGAGTGGAGAATGTTGGCAAGCCATTTGACTGCTTTAGCCACTATAGCCAAACCTGATTCTCTCTTCTTGCAATTCTCTGTGTAATGTTAGTTGCAAGACAGCAATGAATTATAGGGTGTCATTTGGCCTGCTGTGCCTTTACTGGCTCTTTGAAAGACAGAGCGAATGCAAGTCATGCAGTTTTTCCTTCAGGTATTATCGAACTCAATGTTGGCAGTTACCACTGAATTTGCTTCCATCACAGTTTCAAGCAGTGCATTCCAGATCATCAGGCTACGGTTTGATTTTTAATTTTTAAATTCCCATTTTAATTTTTCACAACTCCACAGTGATTGAAGAGCAAATCTGGAATTTTGCTAGCTAGTATTAATCATGTACATCTACTTAACTGATTTAGGTTTCAGTAAGTTTTTCAAATGAATGCCAATGTTTCAGCCTGGAAAAGGATGTGTATTATCCATCAGCTTTCCAACTGATCCTGGAAAAGCATTGTTCAATTATTCCTTCATATGACCTTGCTGAGATTTTGGAATCATAACTGCATAGTTCCCTTTTTGACTGGAGCATTGCGTGGAACTTGAAAGAGAAACCTAACTGAAATAAGGCCATTGAAAAAATTTACTTTGAATTATATTATCACCTGTTAATCAATAATTTTGAGTTCCTTCACCATCTGTCATGGTTTGAAATTTGTCTTTGAAGTATTTATCTACCTGCTGTTTTTATTAAAGTGCTAGTAGTTTTCACAAGGCATTGTTTCTCTTGAATAAGAGAATATGTTCTGGTCCAGTATGGAATTAATTTTTCTTTGCTACTTTAGCAAAGCCAGCAATAATTCTACATACTCCTTAGAGTTGCTCCCTGTTCCTAATGATGTGCTTCCCTAGGAACATCTAAATTGTTCCTCTCTGCAGACAACATTGTTTTTTGTCAACCCTCTCAATACCCCCTAATGTACTGTTTCCAAGGCTGGAATTTGTTTATTTAACTCTACAATTTCATAATTTTTTAAATCATTATTACTAAACTAAATAAAGTTGGAATGCCTGCACTTCTGCCTTCATATAGCTTCATGATGGTGCCTGCTGCGTCATGGAGCAGTGGAAGGTACAGATGTAGTTTTGGAGCAACATGTATAGAATTCTGGAAGCTGACAAGGACATTTTTTGGGGGCGGGGGTTTTGCATAGGAGAAAATGAAATATAGCAATTGATGACATTGTGATGTCATCTAGGAAAAAAGTTATGTAATATTTTGTGACATTGGTTATGTGCATTCTAGTTGGTGAGTAATTCCCCATGCTAGCTATTTGCGATTAGATATTCTAATCATTGCACTTTTTGATATTTCCTGTTATTAAAAACTGATGGACCAACAAAATCTTTAAAAAGGACATAATGTTTGTATAAAAATTGAAAGAACTGCGGATGTTGGAAATCAGAAACAAAAACCAAAATTGCTGGAAAAGCTCAGCTATGGAGAGAAAGGAGTTAACATTTCAGGTCCAGTGCCCCTTTCTCAGAACCGATGGTAGCTAGGAAAATGTTGGTATTTATGCAGAAGATAGGATGGGGGAGTGGGTGACTCGTAAAAGATAGGTGGAAATAGAGCCCAAAGAAAGAGAAGAACAGTTGGACAGACAAAGGAGGGAATAATGATTGGCGTGGGAGATTGAATAGTTACTCATAGAGATGATTAGTGACCAACAATGGTTTGTGTGTAATAACAGACCATGTGATAACAAGACCTGCTGTGTGGGGGCTGGGGTAAGGACATCAAGAAAATGCCTCAAACCCTAAAATTGATGAACTTGATATTGATTCCAGAAGTCTGTAGAGTTGCCAAGTAGAAAAAGTTTGTTTGCTTTATAATGCTGCGATGCAGCACACTGTGCGAGATATTGTAATTTACACCTTACAACATTGCTAAAGGCTAAAAGATACTCGGTTGAAACTCCATTTCCAACATGCTTATCTTGGGGTCCCAGTTTATGTCTCCCTGTTTAGTAATGATAGGAGGTTAAACTATTGATAGTTATTATGGATATGTTGTTTTGAGTCACTAATGTATATTGTGCATTAGCACACTTGCCTGAATATTCATGCTTTGCACTGTAGTATTGGCCATCCATGATTGAAGTATGATCAAGAGAACGAACGGTTGGCATTTCTATAATCTTGTGTAATTTACATGTAAATTACAATTGCCATCTTAAGCACCATGCTAAGTGCAGCCCTGCACTTTTTCTATCAACATGTTGTTGTGTTTTATTAGTTTCAACCTTGCCCTATCAACCTTTCTGCATTGCCTTTCTCATTGTGTTTACCTCTTCCTTCCTATTATATATTTGTATTTTATTTTCAACTTCCCTGTTTTCTCCCCTTACATTCCCACTAATTAAATTCCCAGTCTCCTGTCTTTTGGCACCTTGTGTCATTATATTTGAAATCTTCAATATTACATAGGTCCCCAAAAAAAACTATTTTCACTTCTGAGTGGAGCCCCAAAGAATTTCAAAGTAGCATAAGTAAGATGGTGAGCTGGGGAGATGGGGATATGATCAGTGACTCCACTGGAGAGGACAAAGGGAGTTACTGGGAAAGGCTGAGGCCTAACTCATGAATATAAAAAGTGGCATTTACGAGCTCTGGACAACATGCAAGAATCCTGAACCAGGCATTAAGTCATGATGCGCACATGTGGAGCTTGAAGATATCAGCAAAGTATGTGTAGAGAAGACTACTCCTGGGAATGGAAGCGAACTTGGGTTCTTGTCTCCAGAATGGGGAAACTTGCTGTAAGACAATATCTGGTGCGCGGAATTGCAGAGTGCATTGCGTAAGCTTGTCTGATTTGATGAAAGGATATCAACTTGGAATTCCAACCATCTCTCTCTCCTCATGCTGCATGTGTTTCAAGCATTTTCTCTTCCATTAAGCTTAGTTTATTGATTGTTCTAAGCTTTTCTTGGAACATTCTGAAGTTTAATCTTTTATGTCAAGGCGAGAGACAGCAGAACCAAATCAACCTTTCTACCTCTTGTATTCGCAATACAGTAAAATTAAAACCTACAAAGACCCTGAAAATTTACCCCAGTGGTCCCTAACCAGACATCTTGAATAACCAATACCAGATTCTTCGATTAATTCTATGCATTGGTTTGTAGCTGAAACAAAAGAACCACCCTCTGTGTTTAAAAAAAAATTGCCTCATGTCTTTTTTTTAAATCTGTTTCCTCTCACCTTAAAAGTGTGCCCTCTAGTCTTGAAATTCCCCATCTTGGGGAAAAGGCATCTACTATCAACTCTCTCTGTACCTCTCATTATTTTATAAACTTCTATTAGGTCACCTCTCAACGTCCTGTGCTCCAGTGGAAAACAGTTCCAGCCTATCCAGCCTTTCTTTATAACTCAAACCTTCCATACGCAATGCAATCTGCAAAATCCTGATAAATCTCTTCTGAACCTTTTCCTTCCTATAACTGGGCAACCAGAACTGGACACAGTATTCCAGAAGAGGCCTCACTAATGTCCTGTACAGGCTCAACATAACGTCCCAACTCCTATACTCAAAGGACTGAACAATGAAGGCAAGTGTGCCAAATGCCTTTTTAACCACCCTGTCTATATGTGACGCAAACTTTAAAGAATTATGTACCTGAACCCCTAGGTCCTTCTGTTCTATAACACTACCCAAAACCCTAGCATTAATTGTGTAAGCCCTACCCTTGTTTGTTGTATGGAAATGCAATACTTTGCACTTATCCAGATTGAACTCCATCTGCCATTTTTCAGCTCATTGACCCATTTGATCAAGATCCTTTAACCGGGCAGTTACTCTCCTTTTTACTGCATGTCAGATACTGAGCTTAGAATTAACTTGACCAATTAGGACTGTTCATTACAGTAGGATCCATTAAATTCTTTCCTGATTTCTCCTGAACACGAGCAGCCTTTAATCTAGAGGTTCCACATCCGTTTTCAAGGAATTATCTTGGTGATTTAATGTTTCCTTGGAACCCAGTAGATGATAATTCTTGTGTTGTTAGGTTTCAA